GCTCCCTCTGGCCCAGCACTGAGGAGCTGACCCCGGACCCCGGCCTCTGCCCACCCCGTCCGCCAGCCGCCGAGGGAACTGCTGGCGCTCAGAAACCAGGCGGCCCCAGAGAGTCCACACAGAATCCGAGGCCGCTGCCCTGGCCTCGGCCCCCTGCTCCCAGGAACGGGGACCGGCCGCCTCTCCTGGCTCTGCGGGGCCCAGCCTGGCTCTCCCTTCCCTGCCCGTCACCTGGGCGACCCCGACTCTCCCTCTTACGCCTCCTCCTCCAGGAAGCCCGCCGGCCCCGGGGCCAACTCACTGAAGGTCTTCTCCAGCTCCTCGCAGCGCCGCACGTCCCCCACAAAGCGCCTCTGGAAGGCGCTCACCGAGGCGTTGAGCTGTGGGTGTGGAGGAGTCAGTCTGGGGGGGCAGGGAGGTCCCCGCCCCCAGGCTGCAGCTGCCCCCCCGAAGGTGCTGCACAGCGAACCTCCAGGGCCCGGCTGGAGGCAGACGGCCCGCCCGCCAGCAGGGCCCGGCAGAGCCAGGAGGTCTGGCTGCCTCGGGCCAGGTCACGGTGGGAGCAGGCGGCCCGTGGCCCAGGCCGAGGGTCCCAGCGGGGCTGGGCCATCGGGGGTGACCGTCGGCCAGCGGGGTCCTTCCCACACCCTCGGCCACTCACGTCTCGGAACTCCACGAGGCCCAGCTCGCCCAGCTGGCTCACGCAGGTGTAGGCGGCCGCCGTGGGCAGGAAGAGCTGCACCAGAGACACCTCCTCGCTCCGGAACATGGAGCCCATGGTCCTGCGGGGCGGACAGGGCGTGGGGCTGAGCCGGGCCCGGCCACGGCGGGAGGTCCGTGTGCCTCAGCTCCCGTCACCCCACAAGGTCCTGTCCCCACGGCCTCCTGGCAGGTGGGGAAACTGAGGCCCGGGTAGGTGCGATGGGGCGCCGGGGTCACATAGGAAGCAGCCTGGCCCCACATCCTGACCCACAGCCCAACGTCAAGCTCTTTCCTGGCTTGGCTCCGCCTCATCCCAGACCCCTTCCCTCCACCTGCCGGCTCCTGACCTCTGCTCCCGCTGCCCCTCGTCTGTGACCGGCCCTCACCCTGGATCCTACTCAGCCTTGGGGTCCCACGGCCACTGCTCCTGGGCCCCAGACCTCACCGGTCCCCAGTCCTTGTCTTTCTACCCCAGGGACAGGCGGATCGGGCCTGTCTCCACAGCGGCTGAGCTCTCCCCACCCCTCCCCGCGGTCTGTGTGCGCGGAGGGCTGGGCATCACCACCAGGCTCCCCGGGGCTCAGGGCGGGCGGGGGCCGAGGGACCGTGCGGGGCCTGGCTGCCTGGCGGCACCCGGCGGTGTGGGCGGGGCAGCCTCCCCGGTGTTGAAACCATTGAAAGTGAAACTGTGCGAACTTTAAGAGGAGCCGGAAGGGCCCGCGGGGCCTTGCTCAATCGCCCGCAGCGGGAGGTCCCTGCGATGCCCCCGCCCACAAGCCAGGGCCCCCGGCCGCTGCCCTCGGGCCCAGGGCCAGCCTCTTCCCCTCCTGTGGGCCTGGGCTGGCTCAGCTCTCAGACGGGGCATGGGGACGGGCATGGGGGCGGACGCCAGTGAAGGCCCCTCGGAGGGTGCCAGTTTGGCGCCAAAGCGCTGGGCAGCTGAGCGGGCACTTCCTCCCTCAGGGCCCGGCTCACTAAATAGGGAAGGCAACCCAGCCGGGAGAGGAGGAGGATGAGTGTGGGAAGCGGCTGGATTCCATGCCCTGAGGCTCGGGAACTATCTGAGGAGCGGGCCCCTGGCTGTGTGACCTGGGGGAGTCTCTGGTCCTCTCTGGGCCTCCACTTCCTCTTCGGGTAAATATTCTTTTAAAGAATCGGGACTTTTTTAAAACGCCACGGGACGGGGGACAGATTGTTAAAAATCGGGACCTCTGGTCACCTTAGGTAACCAGGACTTGGCCACCCTCAGCAGAGACAGGGCCTGGCTGGGGGATGCCCCAGACCACCAGAGCCCCATCCCATGGAATCCCTCCACCCACACCATCTCATCTAAACTCAGCAGCCGCGGGGAAGGAGGCGGCGCTGGAGGAGGCCAGCCAGGCCCTGAGCATCAGCCGTGGCAGGGACAGCGGGGGGCCCTGACCCGGGCAGGCCTGGCCGTGCCCGGAGTGGGACAAGCTGTGATGGGCGTGGGTAGGTAGAAACCTGAGCAGACGTCCTGATTTTTAACAATTTGTCCCGCGTCCCGCAGCATTTTAAAACGCCGTGGACGCGGGACAAATTGTTAAAAAATAGGGGCTGTCCCACCAAAAGTGGGCCGTCTGGTCACCGTAAGGCTAGACCCTTTCCTGGCCCACAACCTGCCCCTGCTCCCGGCCCCTGCAGTGTTTGTGGCCAGCGCCAGGGGCCACCCCAGGCCTGGTTAAGGAGCAAACGAAGATGCCTCTGTCCTGTGCCCTTCAGTGTCCAGAGTGCTCCGCACTCTGCCTCCTCTCTTCCCAGTCCCTCGGGAGGCTGGAGGCTGAGGCCAGATCTGTCCTCTGAGCCCCTGGCACCCGGCCGATGATGAGCTGGGCTGGAGGTCAGCCCCCTCCTCCTCCAGGATGGCGGGCTCTGAACCCCACTTGCCTCAAACGGTTTCTTCCTACTTGGGTGGGCCTCAGTTTCCCCATCTGTAAAATGGGTCGCTCCCTTCAAGAAGACGCGATGGGAGAAAAACTCCGAGTGCCACCAGGCCTGGCAGAGCTGGGCTGGGTCCTCAGCAGCTGTGAATCCCCAACCTCCTCCTCCTCCTCTTCCTCCTCCTCCTCCCAGTCGCCCCCGTGGCCCCCAGCAACATCTCACCCTGCGGGAGCACCCACCTCCGCCACTCACCCGGCTCGGGCGCAGTGCGGGGCTCTGGCTCTGTGTGTTCCGAGTTCCCGGCTCCGAGACACCGGCCCTGAGCCACCGCAGCTCACTTTCCTGGGCGGGACGGACTGAGCAGGGCGGGGCCAGCTGTTCCCGCCCCAGTCCCCACCCCGGGCTCCGGGCTGGGGCTCCGGTTTCTGGCCAGAAGCTGGAAAACAATTCTGGGCGGTGTGGGGCCTGGGGACACACTGACCGCCGCCAGCCAGGCGTGTCTGCTGAGCCCAGGCCCAGCTTGGGGGCCAGAGAATGGGATCCCCACCACCCAGAGGGCTCGCTGGGCCTATGGCTGGTGGGACCCCAACCCCCTCAGGCCCGGGGTCCAAGATCTGCCGAGGTTCCAAGACCAGCCTGCTCCCCAGCTCTCCACCCGCCTCAGCGAGGCCTCAGGGACCCGTCCTCCCACCTCCGGCCTCCGGCCGCCAAGGAGCGCTCTGCGCCCGGGTGGATGGCTGCCCGCTCTGGGCCTCTTTCCTCAAGGACGGCAGGACGGAGGGCCAGGCAAGGCTGTTCCACTTGGGCCCCGCCCCCAGCGCGTGCTGGCAATGCTGCTGGGGTGTCCCAGGGACCTGGCTGATTCAACTCAGGGGGTTCATCATGTCCCAGCACCGAACGGGTTCACAGCCACCCAGCTGCCTGCACTTCAGACAAACCAGGACCATATCCCCTGGAGCCAGGGGCCCCTCAGCTTGGTGACTCTTGAGAGTCACACTGAGGGCAGGAGTGAGCGAATGGAACCAGGGCTGGAGACTGAGACACAGCCAAGGTCAGCGCCCAAGTGTAGGTGTCTGGAACACGATAGGGTTGTTCCCGGAGGGAACCCTCAACACAAGCAGAGAGCACAGTGTGTGTGTGTGGATGGGGGGAGAGGGGGAGGTCTCAGGTCCAACTGCTGGGCGCAAGGACGCGAACTCTGTTACACAGGGGCTCTGGAGCTGCAGTCGTGGCGCAGGGAGACGTGTCCGTGAGGGAGAGAACCGGTCAGGAGCGGACAGGGACGTTTAATGTGTCTGGTTGCCTGTATGCGGACAGGCTCTGTGCCCATTCTCGAATGCCGGTTCTGGTTAGCAATTTGGGGCTTTTGAGCTTCTTTGGCGACTTCCTTCTTTGGCTTTGCCACCAGGACCAGGGGGGGGGGGGGGGGGCTCCCAGGCACTTCCTGGCTCTGGGCTCCCCTTGGGTCCTCCACTTACTTCTCCTTTCTGTGCTGTCCCTTGGGCGGGGGGGGGGGGGGGGGGGGGCAAAAAGCCTTGGCCAGTGTTGGGTCCAGCCTGGCCCCGGGTCAGCGGTGACCTGGGAAGAGGGGATCCCTGGGCGAGCTGGGGAAGGCTGGGTTTCTTTGCTGCAGGCCTTCTCAGAGCCTGGCCGGCGTTAACATGCAGCGCTTGTGCCAGCGAAGAGACTGGGAGCATTTCCCCACTTAGTGACCATGGAACCCCTCCCGTTTCTTAAGAAGCGTCTTGGGGATGAGCGCTGACAAGTCCCTCTGGGATGATGGCGCTCGGACTGAGTGAGTTTGCTCATTGGATGTGGGTTGTGATTCTGAGCAAATCACTGCCTCTGAGCCAGCCTGCCCTCTGCTCAGAACACACAGAATCCTTCCAGCGCTCAGCACGGGCTCCAGGGGCTCCGATACTCCGCCGGCACCGGGCCCGCTTCCCAGCGGGACCACGCCGCTTTGCGGGGATCACAAAGCAGGAAGTCCTGAGCAGAAGCCAAGCCAGCGGCCTGGTCCGGGGAACTTGGCGAGAAAAGGGGATGTGGCTGGAGGTGAGGCAAGGCCAGCTCAAGGTCAGCAGAGCCTGTGTCACCATCTCGTGACTGTCACCCCACAGCAGCCTCACTCTGACCACAAAGATCCGGATTTCTGAGTGTCTGCCTGAGACGGCTTCTGCCCGAGACGGTGGGAGCCTCGGGGACGCGTGGACACCCGGATCCCAGGCCCCAGGGACAGTGCTGGAAAGACGTGTCGCCAGCAGGCTGCTGTGGGCTGGAGCGCAGCCCAGGAGGGCCTGCCGGGAGGGGCTGGCCCGGCCGCGTGGACAGACACAGGACAGAGGGGGGTCAGAGCCTCTTTATTGGAGCGGCCGGGCCGGGCCGGGCCGGCCGGGTCACCGGTACAGGTAGTCGGCCTGGATGTTGGCGGAGATCTCGGCCTCCCACTTGTCCCCGTTGTTCAGCAGCTTCTCCTTGTTGTACAGCAGCTCCTCGTGCGTCTCCGTGGAGAACTCAAAGTTGGGGCCCTGCGGGTGGGGGTGCAGGCGGCCGTCAGGCCTCTCCAAGGAGCTCCTCCCCTCCCCCCGCCCCCGGGGCCCACGCACCTCGACAATGGCGTCCACGGGGCAGGCCTCCTGGCAGAAGCCGCAGTAGATGCACTTGGTCATGTCGATGTCGTAGCGCGTGGTTCGGCGGCTGCCGTCGGCGCGCGGCTCGGCCTCGATGGTGATGGCCTGGGGGGCGGCTCAGGGTGCGGTCACCTGCCAGGCTCCCCCCTCGGAGCACAGGGTGCCCCTCACTGCCCATCCCACCCGTCTGCACAGGCCGGGCCCCTCTGGGCACTCATCCCCGGGGCCTGCAGAGCGGACCCTCTGCCATCCTGTTCAGCCCAAGGCCACCCTTCCTGAGTGAGTCCCCCCAGCAGCCACGCCGCTTCTCCTTAGCATCTCCCCCCGATGGCATTCTTCCTGTTTGTCTCCTGCTTGTCACTTGCTGTTCCGGCAGCTCCTGGTGGGCGCGGAACCGCCCTCCCACCCACACCAGCCTTCCCCACCGACCGGCCAGACACAGAGGCTCAGCAGGTTGGGGGCTTCCGTAAGCCACACAGAGGCGAGGGGCAGAGCCAGACTCGAAGGCCAGTCCTTAACTCTGTTCCTGGGTACAGCCTGTGCCACCCAGTCAGGAGGGTCTTCAAAGCAGGGTGGCAAAGCCCCCAAATGCCCAGCACCCACAGAGGGACCTTGGCCGGTAGCCTCATCTAAGAAAAGGGAACAGCGCTGGCCAGTGCGGCTCAGCTGGTTGGGCCAAAAAGTCACTGGTTTGATTCCTGCTCAGGGCACGTGCCTGGGTTAGGCTCTATCCTCAGTGGACGATGTGGAGGAGGCAGCCTGTTGATGGTTCTCTTTCCCTTCCCCTCTCTAAAAATCCATACAAACGTATTTAAAAACAGGGATCCCAATCTCTTCCCGGAGTTGCTATAAGATAAGAGCCTGGCACAGAGCCTGGCTTGCGGGTGGCACTCGCTGCCTGGAGCTTCATGCTGTCGTGTGTTGGTGGCTGGACTGAAGACGCCAAGGCCACAGCCTGGGGCCCGGAGGCCAGGGAGCAGCCAGAAGACATCCGGACTCAGAAAGGAGCCTGCTGGGTCTCGGACACGGCGTCCTGGAGCAGCCCCAGTGCGGGGTCGCTGAGCCTGCGGGCTCCTGCTGGCATGCCGTGGGTCTGTCTGCCGACGGGCCTCTCTGATTCTACACAGCCAGGCCCTGACTGCGGGCGGTCCACCAGGGACCCTCCAACCGAACCAAACACGGGGCTCAGGGGCAGTGACTGCCTCCGCTGGTCTGCGTGTCCTTGGGGCCGGCCCTGTGACAGGCACAGGCAGGGCTCCGGAAGCGGCTGCTGTGCCCAGGGAATGGACCCTCGGTGCCACCCTGTGGCCACAGGCCTGGTGCCACGGCCCTGACCAGGCCTCCGGGCAGCACCCTGTGCCATGCGGGCTGCTCAGGGTGGGAAGCTTACCCGCTGACTCAGTGACCACGGACCACGTTCCCATTCGCAGGGGGACGGGCTCAGAGGGAGAGGGAGTTACTGGAGACACTGGCCGTGCGGAGTTCCCAGCCTCCCTCAGAGCGGGCTTCCGCCCCCTCCCCCCAGCAGGGCCGGGCGGCGCGGGCGGGCGGCCGGCTCACCTGGGCCGGGCACACGGCCTCGCAGAGCTTGCAGGCGATGCAGCGCTCCTCCCCGGACGGGTAGCGGCGCAGGGCGTGCTCCCCGCGGAAGCGTGGGCTCAGCGGGCCCTTCTCGAACGGGTAGTTGATGGTGGCCGGCTCCCGGAAGAGGTAGCTCAGGGTCATGCCCAGGCCTGTGGGCATCAGAGGGACGGCTGGTGAGGCCCTCACCCCTGGTCACGGGTCCCACGCCAGCCCGCCCGGCCCTCCCGCAGGGCCCACCTCGGATGAGCTCAGTCCACAGGAGGGTTTGAGCCGCCCGGTCAGTCACTGACTTCATGTCCATCGGGGGCTCCCGCAGGTTCACGTACTCTGCGGGGGAGACGGGCAGCTCAGGGAGGTGAGGCCGCGGCCCTCTGCAGGCACAGCCGCCCCTGCGCTGTTCATTCACCAAACCTTCCGGAACCGGCCGTGGAGGCAAGGCCATGGAAGGGGCTTAGGGTTCGGGGTCCTGAGGAGGAGGCACGGGCACGCAGGCTCACACCGGGCAGCTCTCTCCCGCCCCCCACAGGGGAGCTGAGATCACACTGTGGCCCCGGGACGGCCCCACCCCTGCGATGAGACTGTTCCCATGGATCACAGTCCAGACCCTCCTCCCACTGTTTGGAGAGGAAACGGAGGCTCCGGGCGGGGCCCCGGGACTCACTGTAGGTGGCGGCCACGGCGCTGCTGTGGAGGCTCCGGGCGCTGGGAGGCCCTGCAAGGAAAGGGGCCGAGCTGTGCAGCTGCCGCCTCAGGCCAGGCCCGGCTCCCGCGCCCAGGGGGCTCCCGGTCCTACCTGCACGAACGGCCCGGGCCAGGGCCCGGAGCGCCGCGGGCGTGGTCAGGCGGTGCATCTGCGGGTGCGAGAGGGAGGGGTGACGGGTCCCAGGCCCGCCCCCCAGAAACTCAGGCTCTGCAGCAGACCTACCCTTGGCCTCAGGGCCACTGTGTCATCCGGTCTCCTACTTAACCCCACTCCTGCGGAGGCACAGACGGCCTTGCTGTCCCAGCCCGCCAGCATGACAGCTCAGCTCCATCTTCTCACCTTCTTTCCAATCCACCTCTCCTCCCTCCCCCGCCAGTGCTCCCGTTCATCCTCCCAACGCAGACCCCATCAGCACCGCCAGCGAGGGGCCACTCCGCTCTCCGGTCCTTCCGAGGACCCCCGGAGGCACGGCGGGCAGCCGCAGCTCGGGGGTGGTATGTGACTCGCCCAAAGTCAGGCTCCGGGAGGTTGGGACCAGGGCCGGATCCAGCAGAGCCCCCGGCCCGGCCCCGCTGGAAACCGAGGCTTAAATAACCCTCAAGATCCAACTCCTCTCCCAGCGCCAGGGCCCTTCTGGAGCTGTCCACCAGCCTGTCCAGTGCCCCTGGGCGGGCGGGGCCCCCTGGCCTGTCCCCCTATGGGAAATGGGGGGACCGTAAGGACGAAGGGGGGTCCCACAAGCCCAGGGTGCAGCCCAGAGCAGGGCACTTCGCGGGAGCTCACGACGGCCCCTCCCGTGACCTGCGGCTTCTAACGGGTCCATTTCTCTCGACCACGGACATGAGTTTAAGGCACCGACCCATCTCCTTCGACCTTCCCCATGACCTCTGACCCCAAGGACGCCGGCGGCGCATGCGCCCCGAGGATGCCGCCTTCCAGGTCCCGCGCTGCACGCTCAAGGGCACGGGGACGAAGGGGTCTCCGCGCGCCGAGAGGAGGCCCCGGGGCAGAGCCAGCAAGACCAGTGGAGGCGCCACCCTCGCTGCCCACGCCGCGCTGCCCAAGCCCGGCCTCAGCGGCGGAGCCCAGACACCCACCTTGAAGCGTTGCCACTCCTTCCCCTACCGAGCGGCCTGCTCCCCGAGAGGCGGAGCCTCACACCCTTGGGCGCTGCCATTGGGCCGGCTGGTTTCGCCGTCTCCGCGCTGCCTCTTCACGGTGTGCTCTGATTGGCCAGTGGCGCAACAGGAGAGGCGGGACGTAGAAATACCTTTCCTCTGATTGGCTACGGGAGAGCAGGCGCTCGAAGTTATGCGTAGCGCCGCCATGTTGTATAGGAGAGGCCAATCAGCGAGGGACCTGGGGGCGGGACATCCGGGGCGTGGCTTGGGCGGTTCCGGCCGGCCCCCGCGGGGTGTGTGGTAAAGGCGGTGAGGAGCGCCGGCGGCGGCGGTCTGTGCGGGGCCTGAGGAAGCCCCGGGACGGTCACTGTCCGTTCCCCACGGGGCAGCTGAGGCCCGGGCCTGTTCCCTGTGCCCGCGCCGTGTGCCCGCGAAGTGCGGCTCCCGGCACCGAGTCCTCGACGCGACCCGGGAGCCCGGCCCTCACCCGCCACCAGCCCTGTTTCCTCTGGGCGGCGTGGGTGGCGGGCGACCGGAGGCGGCGGCCGGAGCCGCTGTGCCCGGGGCGGGGCGGGTGGAGGAGGTGCTGTCCGGCTGAGTGCGGGGAGCGCAGCGGGCCCTCAGGGCGGAGCTCCCCGGCGGACGGTGGCCACGGGCGTGCGCAGAGCGCGGGGCCGCGGCGGGGCCTCCGGCCGGTCGGCAGGGTTGCGGGCCCCGGGCCGGCAGGCAGGCTCCGGGCGCTCTGGGGGGAGCAGCGGAGGCGGGCGAGGGTGGCCCTGGTTCGTGCGTGGATCCGGGGAGCTGTGCGGGGTCAGCGTCCTCGGGGCTCGCTGAGAGGCGGGGCTTGGGTCAGGTGGCCGGGCGTCCCGCTTTGGGCGGGACAGTCCCGGTTTTTTTTTAAAAAATATATTTTATTGATTTTTCACAGAGAGGAAGGGAGAGGGATAGAGAGCCAGAAACATCCATGAGAGAGAATCATCCACCAGCTGCCTCCCGCACACCCCCCACCGGGGATGTGCCCGCAACCAAGGCACATGCTCTTGACCGGAATCGAACCTGGGACCTTTCAGTCCGCAGGCCGACGCTCTATCCACTGAGCCAAACAGATTTCGGCAAGCCCCGATTTTTAACAATTTGTCCCGCGGCATTTAAAAAAAAGTCCCGATTTAAAACGCCGCGGGACAAATTATTAAAAATCAGGACTTCTCCGGGACTTAAAAACACTGCAGGACAAATGGTTAAAAATCGGGACGTCTGGTCACCTTAGGCTTGGGAGGTGAAAGGGGGGAGGGGTGCCGAGCAGGAGGTATGGGGACCAGTGCACGGCATCCCGGCCCAGAAGGATGAGCATGACGGAGGATGAGCCCAGTGTGGGACGTGGTGCGGGGAGGAGCCTGGGGCTGGCCCCTGGGGGGACGGGGGTGTGTTCAGCGCTCCCAGAGCCTGAGCTGAAGGGAAGGGAGAGTCCCGCACAGGCGGCTCTGACCCGGAGGGAGAGGTGGGAGGGAAGACACCAGAGACAGGGTGTCTGGGGCTCGGGGTCCGCAGCTCCTGTTTATTAAGCTCCCAGATGCAACCTCACAGCCCTCTGAGATACTGTTAGTCACTCCGCTGTGCAGACGGGAGCAGCTCAGACAGGGAGGCCCGGCCCACCACAGGCCCGAGCCTCTCGGCACCCTCCCCGGGAGGGCGTGACTCACGGGTGCCCATGTCTGCCCTCCCCCGGGACGCACATGCCTGGCATTGAGGTTCCCATCCTAGTGGGGCAGCTGAGGAGGAGGCTGAGGGCCAGAAGATGGGAGGCCGAGCCCCTGGCTGGGCTGGGGCCCTGGACCCCAGGCCACATCTCCACCCCCAGGACACAGGCGGCCACGGACATCGCAGGAGGGACACCGGCCCCGGTGCCCGTGGGCTCAGAGCAGGGTGCAGCTGCAGCCCCGGGTCTCCATGGCCACCAGCAGCACCCTCAGGTTGCGCGGCGAGTAGGGCGGGTAGCGGACGGAGTACAGCTTCTCCAGCCCGGGTCTGCGCAGCAGGCAGGCGCGGCGGTGGGAGAAGGTGTCGAAGGAGAACTTGCCGTGGTAGCTGCCCATGCCGCTGGCCCCTGGACAGAGCACAGAGCCTGGCGGTCAGAGCCCAGTGTGGCTGGGGCAACGGCAGGGGAGCAAGAGGGGAGGCCGGGGCAGGAAGGGCCGCCTCCGGAAGCTGCCAGGCCCTCGGTGGCCAGCAGGGGCCTGGGAGCCGGGGGAGGTTTTCGGGGGAGGAGTAGGATCAGATTCCCTCCCAGACAGACCACACTCATGCCAATGCAGAGGCAGGTCTGGACGGTTCTGGGGCCACCAGGCTGGTGAGGTAAGAGTGCAGGGCCCTGCCACACCTACCCACTCCTCCGAAAGGCAGGCTGGCCAGGATCAGGTGCATGAAGCCGTCGTTGCCGCAGAAGCCCCCGCTGCTGGTCCGCGCCAGCACCTGCTTCACCACCTGGGAACAAGCAGCAAGGAGCCGAGTGGCTGGGCCACCCCCACCCCGTCCCAGGGGCTCTGTCCGGCCCGTGAGGGCCCCAGGAAGGGTCTGAGGCCCCTCTGTGCCCCCAAGGGGTTGGGACCAGTGGAGGGCATCGTTCCGCAGCCTGCACCAAACTCCCCGAGCCTCTGCTCTGGCGGGAAGGTACTGGGGACACGCTCAGGCCCATGGGGAGGGGGAGCCCAGCATTTGCCTGGGGACATGCCGAGTGCAGGGGAGGTGCCCAGAGAGGGGTGTGGTGCCTGGGTGTCTCGGGTGCAGAGCGAGAGGGCCCCCAGGCGTGCAGGGCAGGTGGGAGGCTGAGGGCAGGGAGTGGGGGTTGGGGGCTGATGTGTGGCACAGGGAGGTCAGACGTGTGATGAGGTGGGTATTTAGAACATGAACTTGGCCTTCGCTTGCTTGAGGAGGCCCTCTTCTCTCCACTCTGCAGGTTTATTTGGAGAATGAGAGGGAAAGGTAGGTAGTCACTTATTGTCATTAAAATCCGTCCCAGTGTGTGACCCCCAGATGACACTGGGTCAGGGCTCGTCAGTGGCGGGCAGAGTGGACCCCCATCAGTGGGCTCAGCGGTCAGTTGAGACCAGCAGTCATGACCACAGGGGTGGAGTTGGGGAACCGTGGTCTTCAGGAAGAATAAGTCTGGGGGAGTCCAGTGCCTTACGGGTCCCTGCATCCTGGGACCAGGCCTGAGCAGTCAGAAGCTTGAAAGCCTCTCTGCCAGGTGACCCCCATTCCAAAAACCCCGTGTGGCTCTTATGTGAACATGACCCTGATGAGCCCGGGTCCCGGAGGAGCGGCTGGCTGTGGGCTGGTGGAGAGGAGGTGAGCCGGAGCGCCTTGAAGGCCCAGGGAGGAAGGAGGTGGAGAAAAGCAGGATGGGCCGGCTCAGGCACAGCAACTTCCGGTGAAGCAGGGAGACGGGCCAGAGGAGCCGGGACAAGGACACCGAGGACCCGGCTTGGATCCCGGGGCAGAAAGGAAAACTGGCGAATCGGAACCTAGTGTGGAGTCCAGTAACAGTGCTGCGCCAACGTCCGCCCCTGACCAATGTCCGGGCCCTTCCCCGGGTGATTGGGGTGTGGTCTATGGTCCCTAGGCCATCTTTGTAACTTTCCTGTAAGTCTAGTTATTCCAAAATGAAAAGCTCATTTTAAAAAGCATTGTCGAGCCGGGACCGGTTTGGCTCAATGGATAGAGCGTCGGCTTGGGGACTGAAGGGTCCCAGGTTCGATTCCGGACAAGGGCATGTACCTTGGTTGCGGGCATATCCCCAGTAGGGGGTGTGCAAGAGGCAGCTGATCGATGACTCTCTCTCATAGATGTTTCTAACTATCTCTCTCCCTTCCTCTCTGTACAAAATCAATAAAATATATTAAAAAAAAAAAAAAAGTATTGTTGAGTCTGCAGGGTCTCGGGAGAGCTGGCTGAGGAGGGAGGTGTGCTCTGAGCTGCAGGTGCTGCCCCAGGGGCTTGAGCAAAGCTGAGGCGGGAGGTGAGGGGCCAGGAGTGGGACCAGGGCCCATCCTTGGCCTGTGTGTCCTGGTCCTTCACCCTCCTCACTCCTGCCCATGTGTTGGGCACCGAGAAGGGACACTAGCCACCAGGTGGAGGAGGGCTGGCCGAGGGGGCCCTGGGTGCTGGAGAGCGTGGCTGCTCCCGAGGGAAAGGGCAGAGACAACCAAGATTGCCACCCACCAGGAACTCCGGTGACTGCCCCGAGGGCCAGTATCCCCACCCTCCAGGTCCCTTGGTCACTGTGGGTACCTGCCCCACCTGTCCAGCCCCGCCGGCCCACCTGGCTGCGGCGGGAGAAGGCGTACAGCGCCAGCGGCTTCTCCCGGCGGTTGATGAAGTCCATGGCCTCGTCCAGGCTGCTCACGGTCAGGATGGGCAGGATGGGCCCGAAGATCTCCTCCTGCATCACCGGCTCCGTCTCCTGCACGTCCACCAGCACCGTGGGGGCTGCCGGGCACAGGGCGGCTCAGCCCGGGCACAGGGCGGCTCAGCCCGGGCACAGGGGCAGCTCAGCCCGGGCACAGGGGCAGCTCAGCCCGGGCACAGGGGCGGCTCAGGGGGCGGCTCAGCCCGGGCACAGGGGGCGGCTCAGCCCGGGCACAGGGGCAGCTCAGCCGGGGCACAGGGGGCGGCTCAGCCCGGGCACAGGGCGGCTCAGGGGGCGGCTCAGCCCGGGCACAGGGGGCGGCACAGGGGGCGGCTCAGCCCGGGCACAGGGGAGGCTCAGCCCCGGGCACAGGGGCAGCTCAGCCCGGGCACAGGGGGCGGCTCAGCCCGGGCACAGGGGCAGCTCAGCCCGGGCACAGGGGCAGCTCAGCCCGGGCACAGGGCGGCTCAGGGGGCGGCTCAGCCCGGGCACAGGGGGCGGCACAGGGGGCGGCTCAGCCCGGGCACAGGGGAGGCTCAGCCCCGGGCACAGGGGCAGCTCAGCCCGGGCACAGGGGGCGGCTCAGCCCGGGCACAGGGGCAGCTCAGCCCGGGCACAGGGGCAGCTCAGCCCGGGCACAGGGCGGCTCAGGGGGCGGCTCAGGGGGCGGCTCAGCCCGGGCACAGGGGGCGGCTCAGCCCGGGCACAGGGGGCGGCTCAGCCCGGGCACAGGGGGCGGCTCAGCCTGGGCACAGGGGGCGGCTCAGCCCGGGCAGGGCCCAGGGACCGGGCTCCGGCTCGGGGTGTTCTAGGGAAGTCTCCCCACGGCCCTGAGCGGTGACCGGGAACCGGCCCAGCGCGGTCTTACGGTCTCAGGGTGACGGGGTCCCAGAGCCCTGGAGCCCGAGGGCCCAGGCCCAGCCTGTTGGAGCAGCAGCGTCACCACGGAGCCGTGGGCCAGAGGTCGGGCCGCTCCGTCAGGACAGCCCAGCGGGTGCCCAGGCGGGAAGCGCGGGCTCTCGGGAGGCCGGGGCTGAAGCTGGGGGTCTGCGTTTGGGAGCCTGGACCTGGGCCCAGCTCTGGGCCGGGTCGCGGGGTCACAGGCTCAGACCACGGTGACACGTGGCGTTGGTGTCCGGGAGTCGTGGCGACAGCCGTGGCCCTGGCGGGGCTCCACCCGTGGGGCCCTGGGAACCTCCGGGCCCGGACTCGGCCCCGCTGTGGCTCCAGCCAGGAAGGGCCTCAGCCCGGGGCCCGGGGCGGGAGGGCGGACTCACCGATGTAGCGGTCACTCTCCTCGCTCTGGCCCCCGACGGCCACGCGTCCGCAGCCCAGCAGGCCCCGGAGCCGCCGGAAGTGCTGGTCGTTGATGATGCGCCCCAGGTCCGGGGAGGCCCTGGGGTCCTCGCCGTAGAAGCGGGCGATGGCGTCCTGCAGGGCGGGCACCAGCCGCTCCTGCATGGCGGGGCTGCACAGCACGTAGTCGGGGGCCGTGCAGGTCTGGCCGGCGTTGAAGTAGCGGAACAGGGCCACGCGGTTGGCCACGGTCTGGGGGTCGCAGTCATCGTCCACGTAGCAGGGGTTCTTGCCCCCCAGCTCCAGCGTGACGGGCGTCAGGTGCTGGGCGGCCGCGGCCATGACGATCTTGCCGACTCGAGTGCTCCCTGTGCGTGAAAAAAACCCGAGGGACCCTCATTCGCCTGGGCTGGTGGGACGGCCTCGGTTTGGGGACTGGCATCCCTCAAGGGGGGTTTACTCCCCGCCCTGTGTCTCCCTGGACAGGGGGTTGAGTCCGGGAGCTGCCAGGCCTCATTGGCTTTCCCGTGCCAATCACTGTGCTAGCAGGACCCTCTGCAATGCCCGCTCCCCGCCCTCCCCACTTCTGATTTCTGACCTTCCCCTGCAGGTGTCCACGCTGCCCTGCACTCCTCACCACTTCATGCTCCTCTAGACCCCCCGCCCCCCTTAGCTGGTTTGGCTCAGTGGATAGAGCGTGGGCCTGCGGACTGAAGGGTCCTGGGTTCAATTCCGGTCAGGGGCACATGCCCAGATTGCGGATGTGAGCTTGATCCCCAGTAGGGGGCATGCAGGAGGCAGCTGATCAATGATTCTCATCATTGATGTTTCTATCTCTCTCTCCCTCCCCCCTCCTCTCTGAAATCAATAAAAATACATCCTAAAACAAAACACACACACACACACACACCCTCGGCGACTCCTATCACCAAGGCTGAGGCCGGAGTCCAGCTGCAGCCTCGGACATTCGGTCTCTCCTCTCCTGAGCCGCCTGGCAGCCTTGCCCCTCTGCACCCGCTCCTCCCTCCCCTCCTGGCTGGTCCCACCCTCTCCTCTGGGTGATCTCCTGGGTCTCACGGGTCCTCCTCTCAGCCGCCCCCGACCCTACGCCCACCCACCCCAGTCCTGGGCCTCTCCTGCCCACACTGGCCCGGATCAGCCACTGCTCTGCTGCTGGCTGCTCCGCTCCCTCCCCAGGCTCCTCCCTCTGCTCCTCCAGTCTCTGCAAACATCTCCCTGTCTCTGAGGACTCCTAACCCCCCCACCTCCCCTTGTTGAATTCCACTGAAGCCCCCCCACCAGTGCCCATAGGAGCCTGGGCGCGGGGGCTCTGAGGAGACTCCCGCTGATGGAGGAAATGCCGCTGCTTCCCAGCCAGGCGGTACGACCAGGGCTTCCGTGTCCTCTAGACGGGCCGGTGACTGATGGCGGCTCAGACTACACGTGAGACCGCCACGGCCTGGCGGCCTCTGTGCCGGCCGCCCCGGACCCGGCCTGGAGCCAGCCTCAGGTCTGCCTGCCTCTGTACCCTCCGTCCTGGGGGCCAGCGCCCGAAGCCCGTCCAGCTGTGTGGCGTGATGGTGGAGGTTGGGTTGGCACCCTCCCGGCTGCCTCTCTGTACCTCCCAGCCCCCCAAAACCGGCAGGAACAGCTGAGGCCCCTGGCCCCTCTGCTTCCATAGGCCAACCCTGGCCGGTGGTGATCTGGCTGGACACTAGAGGTCTGTGCCAGGGAGGAGGGGGTCCCGGCCCTCCTGTGGGTCCGGTCCAGCGCTGCTCCCACCTCCTCCGGGCACCGCGGGGCACTTCCCCTCTGAGTTCTGGCTGCCCCTCTGCCTTGGCACTGTGGCCTCTCTCAGGATTGGGGACAAGACCCCTCCAGGTGGGGCTGGTGCAGGCCCCTCCTCCCGCTCCGGCCGCTGCAGCAGGCCGCTCACCCGTGAAGAAGATGTAGTCGAACTTGTGCTCCAGCAGCTGCCCCGTCTCCTCGGGCCCGCCCAGCACCACGGCAAAGCAGCTCTGCGGGGGACAGGCAGAGGGCGCCCCTGGGACCCGGCTCGGCCTGTCCCCTCGGCCTGGCCTGGCCCGGGACTGCAGGCTCTCGGGCTTCATGGGGTGAAGTGGGGAGAGGGTCTGGGGCCTGGCAGGGCTGGTGAGAAGGCTGAGGCCACAGTTGGGGGCACAGGGACCCCCAGGAGACAGGCTAATCAGAGCACTGCCATGGATGCCACCCCTCTGTGTCACTAGGAGGGAAACCAAGGCTGAGAGGAGTGGTGCCTTGGCCAGGCCCTCAACCCACAGGAGGCCCAGCCCTGGGGCCGCCCGCTCTGCTCACCCGGTCCAGATAGCGGGGCAGCATCTCGACCAGGATCTTCTCGGTGTTCTTGCTCACCTCCGAGGGCTTCAGCACCACGCAGTTCCCTGCGGGCAGGCAGGGCAGGGCGGGCAGAGCTGGGCCAGGGAGCCGTGCAGGCCTCATTCACCTCTCACCTGCAGGCCAGGTCGGCCTCACTGCCCTCTGGTGAGGAATCTGGCTCAGAGAGGCGACCAGCAGGCCCAAGGCCAGCAGCCGGGAGCGGGGGGAGCCAGATGCCAGCCGGACTATCTTAGCGACCCAGTGCCACAGCTCCCCCGAGCTCCGCGGGCCCTGTGAGGCCCTGAGGGAGGGGCCGGGGGGAGGTCGAGGCCGGGCGCTCACCCGCAGCGATGGCGCCCACCAGGGGCACCAGGATCAGGTTCAGGGGGTAGTTCCAGGGGGCGATGATGAGCACCACGCCGAAGGGCTCCTTCCGGATGAAGGCCGAGTCCAGCTGGGTGGCCTGTGCCGGGCCGGCGTGGTGGTGAGGGGTGAGGTCTGAGGCTCCAGCCCCTCAGCACCACCCTTCACCCCAGGGGCGGCCCAGTGGATAACCCCCCACGTGCCTGCCCTCCCCCAGGCCGCTCACCAGGTTCCTGGGCACCTCCTCATCCTTCATCCAGGATCGCAGGTTCCTGAGGGCCAAGTTAATCTCGGAGCGGCTGATGCTGATCTCCGACAACTCCACCTCAAAGGCTGACTGGGGGGGTGGGGGGGGGCGGTCAGCTCGTGGCCAGAGGCCTGGAGAGGGCACAGCCTCCTCTGAGCACAGCCTGCGTTTGTGCCCTCCCCCCCCTCCCCCCCGTGGTCGGTGAGCGCTCAGTGTCCGGGGCTGTGCTGGAGCCAGGGATGCAGCCGCGGCCGGAACAGAAAACCTGCCCCTGGACCCACCTGGACACCGTGATGTTGGAAGAGCGGGCTGTTTGTTTGTTTTTTATTTAAATTCTTTATTGTTTAAAGTCTTACATTTGTTCCCCCCCAATCCCCATTGACCTCTAGCCGAGAGGTCAGGGCTGTGTCCTCTGTGCCTCTCTAGGGGGGACTGAGGGTGGCCCCCGACCTGGAAGGCCCTTTGGGGTTAGCTGAGAGGATTCGTGCAGAACAGGGCAGGGCAGGTTTGGGGACAGAACTTGCACTGAACCCGATGTGGCTCAGTGGATAGAGCGTCGGCCTGTGGACTGAAAGGTCCCAGGTTCGATTCCGGTCAAGGGCATGTACCTTGGTTGAGGGCACATCCCCAGTAGGGGGTGTGCAAGAGGCAGCTGATCGATGACTCTCTCTCATTGATGTTTCTAACTCTCTATCCCTCTCTCTTCCTCTCTGTAAAAATATCAATAAAATATATTTAAAGAAAGAATTTGCAAGACCAGAGGGAGGGGCCACGTGAGTGTTCTGGCCGCCGCTCGCTCTGTGGGCCGGGCTCCCGGGGCCTCAAGGAGCTGGATGGGAGGCAGGAGTGAACCCCGAGCCAGAGGGAGAGGGACCAGACAGACAGCAGCTCAGGCCCCCGCTCCGAGGCAGGGCAGTCGGCCAGCCCATGGGCGGTGGCAGAGGTTCCGTGGTGGCACCCGCCCCCCACCACGCCCGGGGAATGGGACCGTCCCCACAGGGAGGCAAGGCCAGCCCCTCGAGAGGGGGAGAGCGGAGGAGAGTAGGGACGGGAGCCCTGGTTTCATAAACAGATCATTCCAGAAAGGGCAATGGGGTTGCCTGGGTGTCTCGTGGCTACGGCACTGGTAAGGAGGTTTGCCGACTCCGAGAAGGGAGCAGTCTTAGCAGGAGCCACCCTCTCAGACAAGCCTTCCTGGTCAGCGTCTGCTCTCCCTGTGGACGGGGACCCCATCCACCACCCCAGGCGCTCCGAGCACTCAGCTAGAAGCTGTGGCTGCTCCAGGGACAGGCAGGCACCCGGCTGGGTGTCTGGGAAGCGGGTGGAGGGACTCCTGGCCCTGCTGGCACCGGGCATCCTGTCTCTGTGACCTGAGTGGAGCGGCTGCCTGCTGGGAAAGTGGGGGAGGAGGAAGGGGAGGGCAGGGGCTGGTGGACCTGGGGGTCGGAGGCAGGCCCAGAGCAGCCAGGGCTGGACCCCAGGGGTCAAGGCAGAGTCCGTGTGGGCTCAGGAGGCCCCAGGCCCTTCCTTGGACATCCTCGGGCTTAGGACTAAGACAAGACAAGCTCAGGACAAGCCAACACGGGACTGCCGTCCCCCGGGGACAGGAGGTGACCACCAGGCGGGTGGGCAGCCAACAAGCACCCAGCACTGAGGTCCCCTCCCGGGCTTGAAAGATCAAATACCACTTCCTCTCGCTCGTTGACAAGGAGCCTCGGGCCTGGCTCTGGGGGCTCAGGCGGTGAGGGGCCGGAGGGATGAACGGAGTGGGTCTGGACACTGTGGCCTTTGCAACGTGCACAGGGACATTTTTCCAAAGGACCCGCTGGACAGCTGTCCCAGGCAGCTCAGCAGTGGGCCTGCCAGCTGAGGAGGAGGGGCTGCCTGCCGGAAAGTGCGTTTCTGGAAGTCCAGCCACGGCTGCTGCTGGAATTGGGAGGGGCCGAGCCCCCAGGCCTCAGGGTGTGGGCCCTGTACCACCTGAAGCCCATGGGTTCCTACGTGTGCAGCCCACACCCCCGGGCCCCACTTCCTGTGCAGCTCTAGCTGCTCCTCAGGCATCACCACCCCAAGCACCTGCGGCCTCAGGGCCTTTGCACGTGCCGTGCCTGCTGCCATTCTCCCCTCTATCCATGGGGAGTCTTCCCCTCCTCCTCTATGTGTCTGCTCAGATGCCGTCTTCTCAGAGAAATCCTCCCTGACCCGCAGGATAAAGCAGCACCTGATCCCGGCCCTCCCGCGCCCTTCACACTAGGTAGTCCGCCCCCCCCCCCCCCCCCCCCCCCGCCTCCCCGTGCCGGCACCACGCTGTGTGGTTATCTATGTGCCCTCATGTTTGGGCAGAAGGTCAGCGTGCTGGGCCCAGGGACTTTGTCACTCTCTGTTGCATCTCTAGATCCCAGAACAGTCCCTCACATCTCAGGTGCTCAGTCAGTACCGAGCAGAAGAGGCTGAGTGAGTGGGTGAAGGGAGAGGACGGTTAGGGGCCGCAGAGGGCGGAGTCAGATGAGTTCCGCTTCATAGAGGATGAGGCTGCCCCGCCCCGCCCCGCCCTCACCTTGCGCAGGTCCTGCATCAGCGCCTCCTGCAGCCGCTGCTGGTTCTCCCGCAGGAAGCGGTCCAGGCCCTTGAGCTGCGCCGCCCGGAACTCCGCCGACCGCGTGCGCCCCTCGCGGAAGGCCTCCCGCAGCCGCTGCAGCGTGTCCTCGAAGGGGTCCATCCTGGGAGGCAGCGGGGAGCGTGGGCCGGAGTCCCCGCCTTCTGGGCACCTGCCCCACCCCCTCTTGAACCTATGTGGGCTCACAGACACCCTCACTGCACTCTGTGACCCCAGAGGGCCAGGGCTGGCCCTGCTCACACACTCTCACACACTCTCTCTCTCACACACACATGCACACACCAATCAGTGCACAGACAGCTCCCTGGGCCAGTGGACAGGGGAGCCTGGGCCATGCGGACGGGTGTGGGCTTGGGGACAGTTACTCCACAGCCCGGAGGGTGGGCAGGCAGCCAGAGACCCAACAGAAATCAGCCCCAAGCCAGGGCCTCGCCCCGTCCAGCGCCTCCTGGAGACGGACTGCCCTCGCCTGCCAGGCCTGGAGTGGCCAGGAGGGGTCTAAGGAGAGGGACAGGCCACCAACCGCCACCACGTGGGAACATTCCAGACACAGAACGCTCTGTTCCCCGCCCCGCCCCCAGCGGGGGGCATTGCCGGGGCGGGGGCGGGAAGGGGGGCAGTGGCTCCGAGGGTGGCAGAGAGCAGGAGCCTCCTCTCCCCGTTCTCGAAAGAGACAGGGAGAGAACGGCATCCCAGAGGCTCTGCCGCCCACCCCAGTGGGCCAGCCGCTGTGCGGGAGGAGCCCCTGGGAGCTGTGGGGACAAGGGGCGAGGGGGCAGACATCAGCAGGCTGGCAGGTGGGGCAGAGGCCCCACCTGTTTGCTTGACAGAGGAGTGCCCTGCCGCACACATTCCTTGGCCCCCGGGGGACCTCTTCCTCCTGCCCCTCTGACTTCCTCCTCTCAGGTCTCAGCTTGCCTGATGCCTCCTCCAGGCAGCCCGCCCTGGTTACTCCCTCCTGCACCCCACAGGGCCCCTGGGCTCTGCTCCGGCTGCACCGGGTTACACGTGTCACAAATACCGATTTCCTCCTGACCTCCTCCCTGGGCCTCCCCCTCCTTCTTCTAGACTTAGCTCCTCACTGGGGGGTCCTGGCCCCCACTCTCCTGCTCGTCAGGGGCAGTGAGGGCACCGCCCGCTGGCGCAGTGTTTATGGAGGGCGAGTCGGGCCTGAGCCTCTGAGGCCGCCGCGGTTGTGCAATGGCTGCCGTCACCATGCGTTCCGCTTCCTGGGAGCCAGCCTGCCGTGGCCACAGGACGGTGGCCTAACAGGCCTCGGTGCCGGGAGCCCGGCTGGGGCCCCGGCCAGCGGGTGAGCCTGGGGCCATGCAGACCCACAGGCCTCGGCTCCTGGAGGGAGACACTGGGCAGCCACCTCGGGCACCGGGGCTTAGAGCAGGTGGCGGGGTGGCAGAGGGCGCTCAGAGCTCCCCCTTAGTCTGGGCGGAAGGCGCCTGGCCCCGCGGAGTCCCAGGAGCAGGAGCTTGGGCCTCGGGATCCCCTCTGGGCTGCTGCCCCTTCCCGCTCTGCCTCTGAACGGCCCGGCCTTGGGCGAGTCACCCACCTCTCCGCCTCAGTTTCCCGTCACCAGGCGGGGACGTGAGCGCCTGCTGTGCTCCTGGGAGCAGGGCCCAGTGAGGCCGCGGTGCCCCTCTGCCCCTCGGCGGCTGCCACTCAGACCTCTGCCTCCCGGCAGCCTGCACTCTCAGCGTCCTGCCAGAAGCCACAACAATGTAAGGCGCGCACCGCACCAGGCACTGGAGTGGCACTCCCAGGAGAGGGGCTGGGAGCCAGGGGAGGGCGGGAGATCTGCGGGGGTCAGGGGCGGGGTGGGAGGGTGGAAATCTGGATGGAACCGTCCAGCAGCCTCTCCTGGCAACCCTGAGGCACACTCACCCCACATTGCCCCCCGCCGGTTGGTCACGCTGGATGGAGGCCCCTGGGAGCTGCCGGCGGGGGAGCAGGAGCCGGGCACAGCCCAGGCATGCCGAGGAGCCAGGACTGCCTTCCGCGGGGTCTGGGGGGACCCTGGGCCTGTGACCTCACAAAGGACCCACAGATGACAGGGTTCCCCAAGCCCACCCCATCCTGGGCGCACGGAGCTGCCTGAGTGCCTGAGAGGCAGGCTCCGCCTGGCGTTTGGCTCAGCGGACAGAGTGTGGGCCTGCGGAGGGTCCAGGTTCGATTCCAGTAAAGGGCGTACCCCTCAGAGGCAGACTCAGTCCCTGGCCCTGGTCCAGGCCTGTGCGGGAGGCGACCGATCAATGTGTCTCTCTCACATGGATGTTTCTCTGTCTCCCTCCCTCCCGCTCTCTCTAAAATCAATGGGAAAGTCAGACCGGTTTGGCTCAGTGGATAGAGCATCGGTCTGCAGACTGAAGGGTCCCAGGTTCGATTCCGGTCAAGGGCATGTACGTTGGTTGCGGGCACATCCCCAGTAGGGAGTGTGCAGGAGGCAGCTGATGGATGTTTCTCTCTCATCAATGTTTCTAGCTCTCTCTCTCTCTCCCTTCCTCTCTGTAAAAAGAAAAGAAAAGAGATAACCAGGTGCTCACCGTGCCAAGACTGTGTCAGCCTGGGTGTAGCTAGGGCCTGGGGCCCCTAAAGAAAGCTGGGGCCCAGAAAAGGCACGTGGGCTTGAGGAGGGGGGGAGGGGGCGGGTCCCAGGTCTGCTGGTTCCAAGGCCCCATCGCAAACCTCCTGCTAGGAGACCTCGGGCAGCCGCACGGCCTCTCCGGCTCGCCTTCCCCGTCTGGAATGGGGGTGGCGCCTGCGGCTGCCCCAGGTCTGCTGGGAGCTCCTGTGCGCCCGCTCTGCCAAGCCGAGCCCTGATGCTCAGCGCCGACGCCTCTGAGGGCTGCGTTCGGACTGCGAGGGCAGCTGGGGCGGGGGGGGGGGGGGGGGGGAGCCGGGGGGGGGGGCGGGAGCGGAGATGCGGGGTTGGGAGCCGGAGGAGAACTGAGGCTGCTGGGTACCCTGCGGGCAAGGGGTTCAGCCGGAGGCCCGGGCGGGGCAGGAAGCGGAGCGGGGAGTGTGACTGAGGTGAGCAGGGCGGCTGGGGACCCTCTCAGCGGCCAGACTGGAGGTCACAGACCAGCCTCGAAGCTCCCGATTCCGATCTGATCTTAAGGGGTCCCCGAGGCCCTGGGCGGCTGCCCCTCCCTTCCCGGACCACCCCAGCCCCTCGGTGACCAGTTCCCCCTGCCTCGCCCAGGAAGCGCAGTGCGTGTTATTGCCAAATGCATGGCCTGACCCCCCACCCGGGGGACGGGGTGCTCTCCCTCCCGGAGTGCCAGGCCCAGAGTGTGACCCCAGAGAGAGGAAGGGTGGTGGCCCCGCTCAGACAAAATGGGGGGCCTGCCGCCGCAGGCCGGGCCCCAGGCCCCCTCCCCACTCGGATCTCTCCTCGGCCCTTCCCCCTCCCCTTAGATCTCAGCGAAGGGAAGTCCCTCCCTCCTTCCCCTTCCTCCCGCCGCGGGAGTCATGAGACAAAGCCGGTCTGTGCAGAGGCCGGAGCGGCCTGCCGCCCGGGCTGCCGGCACGGAGCCCTGAGCCAGCCCTGAGCCAGGCCCCTGGCCCGCTGCCCGCTGCTCTCCCCGGCCTCCCAGACACGGTACCTGAGTCTGCCCAGCTGTCCTTCCTCCGGCGTCCTGCTCTGTGGCTGCCTGGTTACGAAATGGCCAGGGCTGGGCCTGCCCGGGGCGGGGCCGCCCGGCCTGGGGCCTGGGCTGAGGTTCAGGCCACGTCCCTCCCTGCGCCCGAGGGATGTGACTCCTGCTGGACCCGAGCTGGATCCCAATCCGGCGGAACAGGGACTTCCGCCCCCAAGTCCCCGCAGGGACTCTTATCAGCCCTCGGGGCGAGGGTTCCAGCCCGGCCCTGCCCTTCCCCGGGCAGCACGCCGGCTTCTCCCCATCCTTCCCGCCTTATGTAATCCTGGGCGCCTCCCGCGAATCCACACCACCGTGCCCTGCCCACGCGGCCTCCCTGGTGGGCCTCCTGTGGACCCGTGAGCTCATGGCCGGGCTGCCAGCCCCGGGGAGCTCTGAGTGGAGGGGTCAGCCCCAGGCCCTGTGTCAGGGACCAGCCCGGTGGCAGGGACCCAGGCCCGGTGGCAGGGACCCGGTGGCAGGGCCCGGCCCGGTGGCAGGGACCCAGGCCCGGTGGCAGGGACCAGCCCAGTAGCAGGGTCCGGCCCGGTGGCAGGGACCTGGTGGCAGGGACCAGGCCCGGTGGCAGGGCCTGGCCCAGTGGCAGGGACCAGGCCCACCGGAGCAGGAGGAGGGGCCGGCGGTGGCTCAGAGTGATGCTGTGGGTGGGCCCAGGGCCGGGAAGAGGAAGGAGGCCCTGCTCACCTGGTCTCAGTTTCCCGTCTGCCAGAGGGAGAGGCAGACCCGGAGATGGCCGGAGGCCAGGAGCACAGGCTCCGCCACGCCCTCCGCGTCTGTCAGCGCCCTCCGCCCCATCCAGCCCCTCGCAGAGCCCGAGCGGTGGCAGCCTGACGGGTCCCACGGAGGGAAAGGGTCCCAGAGAGGAGGCGGGACTGGGACTCCCCCCCCCCCCCCCCCATCCAGGGAGCGTGTTGCTACGAGCAGGGCCCGCGTCCATCCCTCGCTGTGCCCTCCCCGCCTTGGCACCGCCCTCTGCCCTCGAGGGCGGCTGTGATGCCAGGTGTCACCATGGTGGCTCCTGAGCTCGGCTCCTCGGGCCTCTGCCCTTCGCCCTGCCCCGGCCCCCGCCCCCTCCCCTGAGGGAGCACACAAAGCGGTGAATCCCCAGCCGCTGCTGTCAGACAGGCGGCAGGTGTGGGGCAGGAACACCCTCTGTGCCATCACCTGTGCCAGCTCCTGGGACCCGCTGCCACGGTCCCGTGCCTCTCGCCTCGGGGCCCTGGATCCGCCTCAGGTCCTGGCCCGGGGCCTGGGGGCCGCCCTGCCCTGGGAGAAGCTCCTCGCCACCCCCCCCACCCCCCCACTCCCCCTGCCCACCCAGGGGGGCAGGAGCGGTCTCCCGGCCCACACCCGCTCTGGCCTCTGGAGGCCTCAGCCACTGGGGACGGGTCAGGGTCTGCAGAGGCTCCCGGCCTCTGTGAGGAACCGAGCCCCAGCGCTGCCTGTCACGTGGCCAGCATGTGCCAGCCCAGCCCTGCTGCCTGGAGCCGAGCCAGGCAGAGGCGGAGGCAGAGGCAGGGGCAGGGGCAGGGGCAGGGGCAGGGGCAGGGGCAGGGGCAGGGGCAGAGTCAGGGGCAGAGGCAGGGGCAGGGGCAGGGGCAAGGAGCAGGGGCAGGGGCAGGGGCAGAGGCAGGGGCAGGGGCAGGGGCAGGGGCAGAGCTGGCTCCAGGTGAGGCTGGGCTAGGGCTGAACCTGGCAGCCCTTGGCTCGGAATCAGGCTCAGAGAGGGGCAGCCACTGGTCTGAGGCCACACAGCAAACCAGGGACCAGCTGGGGAGTACTGGTGAGGAGGAGGGGTGTTGCAGGATCTTGAGGGGCCCCTCCCTTGCCAGGGGTCTCCCCCTGCAGGGGCCACTCCTGAACTTGTCATGAATTCGGGGACAAAGAGGCTGGCCTGGCGCAGGGGTCCTGGCTGGGGCGGCAGGGCGGCCCCCAGCCTGAGGGGCGCTGTTCTCGGGGAGGAGGGGGGCCAGTCCTCCCCCCGCCCCCGGGTTCGATGCCTCTGTTACAGCTGAGACAGCAGCTCAGAGAGGAGCAGGGACCAGGCCAGGGTCATGGCAAGAGGGCTCGCACCCCAGACCAGACTCGCTGGCCCTCGTTTAGGCTGGGTGGGAGGTCACCCTGCTCCTGGGAGCCCCTGAGCTGGGCATGTGGGTGCCGGACGCTGGGCAGGGTCCGTGGCACGGCTGGGCCCGGGGAGGTCCCCCCAGGCTGTGAGGATCATGCCCCACGGCGTCCGTGTCACAGCGGCAGAGGCGCCGGGGGCGGGAGGCCTGTCGGCTAGCGCGCAGTGGGCCCGCGGCGCCTGGTTGGGATGCGATGCAGGGGTGACGCCCAGGAGCTGCTGTTTCAAGGGGTTCGGGTGGCGAGCAGCACTTGTCTCTCCTGGTGCTTCTCTGCAAGGACAGCCCTCGCGGCATAACGAGAACGAAGAATAAAACCGACCGCAGAGAAGGCAGGGGGGCGAGTGTGGCAGGAGTCCGCAGCCTGGGTGGGCGGGAGGAGCCCGCCCCTCCGGCAGGCCTGGGTCCCGGCCACAGCGCTGTGTTTGTCTGGATCCCCCGGGCCGCTCACAGGCCGGCCCAGGGCGGAGGCTGAAGGGGAGGAGAGCCGTGTCATCAGCCTCCGGAGGGTCGGGGCACCCAGGGCCGGTCTGTGGGTGCTGGAACCGTGAGGGAGCCACGCCATGCCCACGTGCCTCCGGGAGAAACCCCGTGGCTCTCAGGCCCGCCTTCCACCAGCGCCTCCCACTGGCCGGATCCAACCGGGCGCCCGTTGCTCCAGACAGGAGTGGCTGAGCGGGATTTGAACTAGCATCTCACATGCCTGAACGCTCCTGTCTCAAGAGCAGGTTGCCGGTCGCATGTGGTCCTGTGCGTTCTCGCTAAGGGACAGCGTTCTGAGCATCGCAGGGTTTGGGAGCCGCGGGGCTGCCTTCCATAACCACCTGCTGAGCACTGACAGACCGAACGTCCCCTCCCTCCTGGGACTCCATGTTGATCTTTTTTCTGGCAGTGCGTGTGCGTGTGCGTGTGCGTGTACATACTTTTCCCCCCATAAAGTCATTAACCATTGTGCCATAACGCCAGGTTTTGTAACAAGCTACTGGGAAAATGTTCTGAAGTAAATCAATTCTAATAAAGAAATTTAATATTAAATGCTACCAACAGACCACAGGAAGGCACATGGAACAAGGACTTAAGGTTAAATTTTCAGCTGTAGCCCTAGCTGGTTTGGCTCAGCATGGAGTCCTGAGCCAGCCCAGCAGCCAGGGGGCTGGGGAACTGACGGGTCCCAGGTTCGATTCCAGCCAAGGGCACAGGCCTGGGCTGCAGGCTCAATCCCCAGCTGGAGGTGTGCGGGAGGCAGCCAATCAATGATTCTCTCTCATCATTGATGTTTCTCT